ACCCCATCATCTCAGCCCAAAATCTCCTTAAGCTGATAAGCAAATTCAGCAAAGTCTCAGGATACAAAATCAATGGGCAAAAATCACAAGCATTTCTGTACACCAGTAACAGCCAGCCAACAAAATCATGAGTGAACTCCCATTCACAATTGCTATAAAGAGAGTAAAATATTTAGGAATACATGTAACAAGGAATGAAAGGACCTCTTGGAGACTTACAAACCATTGCTGAAAGAAGAAAGGAAACAAACAGATGGAAAAACATTCCATGCTCATGGTTAGGAAGAATCAATATAGTCAAAATGGCCATACTGCCATTTTGTAATTTATACATTCAATGCTATCCCATCAAGCTACCATTGACTGTCTTCACAAAATTGGAAAAAAACTACCTTAAACTTCATATATAACCAAAAGAGAGCCCCCGCATAGAGAAGACAATCCTAAGCAAAAAAACCAACAACAACAACAACAAAAAAAAGCTAGAGGCAGTATGCTACCTGGCTTCAAACTATACTAAAAGGCTACAGTAATCAAAACAGCATGGTTCTGATACCAAAACAGAGATAGACCAATGGAGTAGAAGAGAGGCCTCAGAAGTAATGCCACACATCTACAGCCATCTGGTCTTTGACAAACCTAACAAAAGCAATGGGGAAAGGATTCCCTATTTAATAAATGGTGTTGGGAAAACTGGTTAGCCATCTGCAGAAAGCTGAAACTGCATCCCTTACTTACACCTTATACACAAATTAACTCCAGATGGATTAAACATTTAAACCTATGACCTAACAACATAAAAACCCTAGAAGAAAATCTAGGCAATACCATCCAGGACATAGGCATAGGCAAAAACTTCATGACTAAAACACCAAAAGCAATGGCAACAAAAGCCAAAATAGACAAGTGGGATCTAATTAAACTTCAGAGCTTCTGCACAGCAAAAGAATCAATCATTAGAATAAACTGGAAGCCAACAGAATGGGGAAAAATTTTTGCAATTACCCATCTGACAAAGGGCTAATATCCAGAATCTAGAAAGAAATGAAATAAATTTATAAGAAAAAGCAACCCCATGGGCAAAAAATATGAACAGACACTTCTCAAAAGAAGACATTTATGCAGCCAACAAACATGAAAAAAAGCTCATCGTCACTGTTCATTAGAGAAATACAAATTGAAGTCACATTGAGATACCATCTCATGCCAGTTAGAATGGTGATCATTAAAAAATCAGGAGACAACAGATGCTGGAGAGGATGTGGAGAAAGAGGAATGCATTCACACTGTTGGCAGGAGTGTAAATTAGTTCAGCCACTGTCAAAGACAGTGTGGCAATACCTCAAGGATATAGAACTAGAAATATCATTTGACCCAGCTATCCTGTTACTGGGTGTATATACCCAAAGGATTATAAATCATTCTATTATAAAGACATATGCACACACGTTTATTGTGGCACTGTTTACAATAGTAAAGACTAGGAACCAACCCAAATGCCCATCAATGATAGACTGGATAAAGAAAATGTTGCACATGTACACCATGGAATACTATGCAGCCATAAAAAAGGATATGTCCTCTGCAGGCACATGGATTTAACTGGAAACCATCATTCTCAGAAAACCAAACACTGCATGTTCTCACTTATAAGTGGGTGTTGAACAATACGAACACAGGGACACAGGGAGGGGAACATCACAAACTGGGGCCTGTCGGGAGGAGAGGGGGTAAGGGTGGCATAGCAGGGGGTGGAGGGATTGGGGAGGAATAACATTAGGAGAAATACCTAATGTAGATGATGGGGATGGATGCAGCAAACTACCATACCACATGTATACCTATGTAACAAACCTGGGCGTTCTGCATATGTACCCCAGAACTTAGTATAATTATTAAAAATAAATAAATAAATTGGATGCAGCCTTGTTATGCTGCCCAGGTGGTTCTCAAACTCCTGGGCTCAGGCAACCTCAAACTCCCAAGTAGCTGGGACTATAGGTGTATATCACCACACCCAGCTATTTTTCCTACAATTTTTAATGTTTTATTCTCACTACAGAACCAATAATATAAGTAGAGGAACAATCCTACCAAGTATATAATACCCAAATAATAAGTGTTCAAGGAAAACAGCTATATGCTATTTATTGTAGTTTTTCAACTAAAAGGTGCCAGGGAGAGTCCATGCTTACCACAAGTAATTTGGCCCACTGAAGATTTGTACTGGCAAAAATATAGATGTCACACTAGTATGATTTAAAAGTCAAAGTGTTAAAATGTATCTAATTAAACCTTAACCAAATTTCATATTTTCTCTATTGAGGAAAGCATTTCCTAATGTGATTTTTCTGTTGCTATGTGTCTTCTAGTTCATTTTTGTTCAGCCCACACCCTGTCACAGTACTCATCAGAATTCTGTTAGTTGTCAACATTAAATAAAATTTTTAAATCAACTAGCCATATGTCTATGGTTTTCTCTGACCAACTTTCCATAACCATCATAAAACAATAGATAAAACCACTGCTAAATTTTAAAAGTAAATACTATGCAAAAGTTGACTGAAACAAAATTTTACAAGAGACCACTTTACCTTGGTAGTAAATCAAGTCTTCATTGTCTGGTTTAGGGCATGAATCCACACACAGTTACTGGAAAATGCTTTAGAGCAAAAATATACAATAAAAATGAGCAACTTTCTTTTTTCTTTTTTACAAATTTTTATCTGCCAATTCATATGCAGCTTCCCCCTCCAAAAAACAAAAACACAGCCTGGGGAAGGTCAGCCATCTGAATATCAAATAACATTTCTTGATACAATTAATATATGGCCTCT